TTATTTCATATTTTTAAGATAATACAAAAAAATTAAATGATTATTGCATTGCAGTAATTATGGTCGCACTGCAGCTGTAAATAAATAAATAGCACTGATGGTAAAAAAAAATGCAATAATATTACTTGCCTTCATATCAGTATATGCAGTGACAGTTGTATACTCAAATAACTCTGAATGGCTGATCCCACAATTCTAGATGTGCATCAAAAGCATGTCTGTTATGTAGTAACATGGTTTTTAAAAGGTCTGTAAATCCTGTTGAATGCACACTGAGCTTTCATGAAGGTTTCACTGTTTCACCACTCATATCTATGAAAGGCATGAGCAGCATCAGGTTTAAATGACAGTAAATAGTTATGGTTTTAAACACCAGACAGGAGACAGAAACTCACATTAACCTCAGTGTTTTTTTTTTTTTTGTCTTTATATAGATTTAGGCTTGGTTCATTTGCAACATGCAACTATACCAAACTCACATACATAATGTCGCATGTAATATTCTTCAACTGACAAAATACAGAAACCTGAGGTGGGAACCCACATAAAACAACCTGACGAAACATTGTGGAAGAGTGACATCTGTTTGTACACTTTGTGTGTCTGACTTGCCTATCAGTGAGTTTCTGACATGTGACGGCAGCCGTGAGACTCTCTTACATGGTGGATCCTGCAAACTGAGAATGTAGCCGCTCCCACTCAAAGAGGCCAGAGTGTCTGTTAGTGGCTGTGTGGGCTAAAAATGAAACTGTGCCCTTAGAACGGAACGCAGCACATCACTATGACTTCTGTTCTGACAGAAACACACTGCTGGACAACACCTTAAATTGAGACCACATGTTTGGTTTCCAAGCACCGAAAGATTTGTGTTTGTTTAACATACAGTACATGCAACATGTAAACCCTAGGAGCTGTAAGAATAAATGTATAGAAAAAAATACAGTAGTATACTTTTTTTTACTTGACGATCAGCCCCCAAAGACACACTAAGTTTCACAAAATATCTTAAAACTACAAAGTAACGAGTTTTTAAATTAAACATGTATTGTGCAAATTACACATAGCCAGGCCCCAAACATGAATTTTGAAGTTGTTAAATAAGAAAGACTGTGGTAATTTATCAAGCATGTAAAACCCACATCCTTGTGGTAATTATGTTTAAAGGAACATTTATGCAACATGTAAACCCTAGGAGCTGTAAGAATAAATGTATAGAAAAAAATACAGTAGTATACTTTTTTTTACTTGACGATCAGCCCCCAAAGACACACTAAGTTTCACAAAATATCTTAAAACTACAAAGTAACGAGTTTTTAAATTAAACATGTATTGTGCAAATAACCAGGCCCCAAACATGAATTTTGAAGTTGTTAAATAAGAAAGACTGTGGTAATTTATCAAGCATGTAAAACCCACATCCTTGTGGTAATTATGTTTAAAGGAACATTTCACCCAAAAATGAAAATTTACTCACCCTCAGGCCATCCAAGATGTACATGAGTTTGTTTCTTCATCAGATTTGGAGAAATGTAGCATTATATCACTTGCTCATCAATGGATCCTCTGCAGTGAATGGGTGCCGAATGAATGAGAGTCCAAACAGCTGATAAAAACATCACAATAATCCACAAGTAACCCACACCTCTCCAATAAATTAACATCTTGTGAAGTGAAAAGCTGTGTGTTTGTAAGAAACAAATCCATCATTAAGACATTTTATACTTCAATCCGTTTCTTCTGTCTAAACTACAACTCCATAATCCATAATAATGCTTCCTTCAGCAAAAAGTCCATCTCCTCTTGTATTTATATTCATATTTCATTCAGACTAGAGAACTTTTAACTGCGGAAAGCAATACTATGGATAGAGGACAATTTGGAAATGCATCTTTGCATACAGTCTGTGTGACACATTTCTTGATTAGCATGGTATGTGTGTACTGTACATACGCAGCCAGATTTTTTTAAACCTCATGTACTCTGTACGCTCAGCACATATGTGTGCCTTAAGTATTAAAGCCCTAAATATACTTCAGTTTTGATGCAAACACTTAACACAAGCAAACTGAACAAGGAGCTTTTGAAAGTATACTCCACAAACTAAAGTATACACGGTTAGAAAAATTGGGTTACACACATAGGCTACAGATTTCACCATACTATACTAATGGCAAAATGTATGTCTCATGCACTTTATAAATACCCTAGTGTACACATGAAAAGGAAATATACTTTGAGCTTAATTAGTTTGTCCACAAGGAAACTGAAGAGGTGAAAAGGCATCGAAGACACTTTTATAAGTGTTCTTGGTTAAAATCAGTAAGGTGTGGGGAGGGATGATGTGTGGAAAGGTGAATCATTGTCTGGCTGTCTGAGATTTCGATATGAAGAGTGTACTGTGAGTGTACTGTACTGTATATTAGCACCTGTTGCTTGCTTTTGGCATCTGCTTTTGGACCTGGAAATGGTGACGCTTGACGTCATACTTAACAAGTGGATGGAGTATTGAAAGATGCTCAGCTGTACTGTATGTATACACATATATATATATATATATATATATATATATATGTGTGTGTGTGTGTGTATATACTTTGCACTATACTGTGCCATTGTTTACTCAAGTCAAAAGAGCCATTTTAAGTTGGCTATAGGAAACCCATCACATCAAGTACCAGTACTTCTCCCCTCTATAAGTCACATGATTCCAGGTATCATTCATGCCCCATGATAAATGGTTATTGTGTCTAGTAATTTGGTTATTGCTGTACGTTTAGTCTTGAAAATGGGACAAATACTTGTAAAGATTGATGTAATGATCTCAAATCAGTCTTTGTCTTTTGCAGTTCTCCTGTTGAGGAGCAGCAGCAACACAATTCTGTAGAATGACAATGGTGAGAAAAGATACAGTTTACCTGTTTATCCCATAAAGCATCTTCATTTTGGATCATCTGTACTGTAATACTTGTGTCCTGATGCTGAATACTATAAAAGCATGCCTTAACTATTAGTAATGTCAATATGTGGTATGTCTCTGTGACCACAAGTGCCACACCTATTCAGTGCATATGGTGCAGTTTAACAGATCAATTCTGGGTAATGGAGTTTCCTGGTATCTGACACACTTTCTTCTCTCTTTCTGTTGTAGATGTTTACAGTGGTGTGGGAGGATGAGCTGATGTGTGCACACTAATGAAGACTCTGACTTGCTTCTGTGATTAATTATTTCAACAAAATCTAAGAAATTTTGGATTGGTTCCCATTTTGCTTCAAAGTAGCAACACCATATCAGTGAGCTAAAAAGAGACTTTTTAGTTTTATATTGTTGCATGTATTTCAGATGTCACTGTAGTTTATTCCTAAAATCCCTTGTTGTAATTGAGTGTTTCCAATAAAAGAACAAACTCACTATATTTTTGAAATGATATATAATAGTGTAAATGATAAAGGATATATTGTGCCGTTTTTGATTTTCTCATTGGATATAATGCTGCAGTGAACATGAATCTTATTCTATGTTAAAATTAAACAGAGATGTTTTCAAAAGGCCTGAGGTCTGCATCATATGCGGTCATCATTGGTCTGTTTCTGATAAACCAGCAGGATGGTTGAATTAATAGACGAAACAGTGGCATGGACAGGTTTAAATATGTCATATGTGACCCTGGACCACAAAACCAGTCTTAAGTCGCTGGGGTATATTTGTAGCAATAGCCAAAAATACATTGTATGGGTCAAAATTATTGATTTTTCTTTTATGCCAAAAATCATTAGGATATTAAGTAAAGATCATGTTCCATGAAGATATTTTATAAATGTCCTACTGTAAATATATTAAAACTTTATTTTTGATTAGTAATATGCATTGCTAAGAACTTCATTTGGACAACTTTAAAGGCAATTTTCTCAATATTTAGATTTTTTTGCACCCTCAGATTCCAGATTTTCAAATAGTTGCATCTCGGCCAAATATTGTCCAATCCTAACAAACCATACATCAACGGAAAGCTTATGATGTATAAATCTCAATTTTGGAAAATTGACACTTAAGACTGGTTTTTGTGGTCCAGGGTCACATATGTGGTCTTATCTGCCCAATCAAAGGTTTTAAATAGATTTTTGAACAAGCTTTTACTTTTACTTTCATTTACTAAGAACACTGGTGACAATATGCACCATTAGTCATAGACTACTAATAGTGTGATATTCAACTTTCGCTGATATTGTGGAATTTAAGATATGCTCTAAACTATCACTCTGTCTCTTGATTAACAATGGTGACAAATTAGCTCTGGTCATAAGGTTTAATACAGAATCACTACGCAAAATTATTTTCCCTATGACACACATCTGTGAAAGATTAAATATGACTGAACGATTAAAAATTAATTTGTTGTATTGACAACAGATAATTTATTAAGTTCTATAAAATATATGAAGTACAGAACAAAAAAAACTTCCCTTTGGCACATACATCAATTAGAGCCTTACAAAAATTATATATGTAAATATTTAATATGACAACAACAATTAAGTCAAGTCAAGCTGTTCTCCTCTGATCAAATGAACCAAAATGGTGTGTTTAGAATACATTGCATGGTGACGGAATCGAAGCTGACCGCGGGGGCTGTGCAGAGGACTTGGCTGGTTCTCGTGGTCACTGAGGGTCTGTGTCGATGGCAATCATGTCGATGAGGACTTCTCAGGGGCTTGTCTAGTTGTCACAGTCTCCACTGACATTCAGGGCTGTTTCTTAAACTGACATAGTATGTATGCCTTCCGAACAATGCTAGGAAGTTTTAAGAGTTAAGGTGGCAAGTAGGAAAATGATCATTCCAGGGACTAATCAGGAAAAGGATCTACCACCCAAAGTTGATTTTGATATTCTAGGTTTTATCAGTTGGCCAGAATTTTGAGACTGCAATATATGTGAAGTACTATAATGCGATAAGAGATCGCTCCATTACTTATAAGAGCTTTGTAAATAATCAGCAGGATTTTAAAATATATGCAATGGTTTTATAGTGAGCCAATGCTGTGTTAACAGAACCAGGCTAATATGATCATACTTCCTGGTTGTAGTAAGAACTCTAGCTGCTGCATTTTGGAGCAGCTGGAGTTTATTAAGTGTGCAAGGTGACCACCCAGTAAAGCATTAGAGTAATCTAGCCCTAAGGTCATGAACGCATGAATTAACTTTTCTGCATTTGACATTGAGACATTGGTGTTGTCATAATTTAGATACATTTTTAAGGTGGAAAATGTGGTTTTACAAATGCTAGAGATGTGGCTTTCAAATGAAAGATTGCACGAAATAGCACACCCAGATTCCTAACTGATGGCGAACACTTGACAGAGCAGCCATCGAGTGTTAGGTGAACCTTCTGCACAGTTCTGAATGCTCTGGACTAGGTTTTCATTAAGGCTATCTTAATATTTTGGTGCATTGAGCTTTTCTTCTACTCTGACGAGTCACTCAGTCCCTGCCGCTGAAAAACATGAGGCTGCTACCAGCACACTTTACTTTTGGGATGGTACTCTGCAGGTGATGAGCAGAGCTGGTTTCCTTCAAACATGATGCTTGGAATTGAGGTTCATCAGACCAGATAATCTCGTTTCTCACAGTCTGAGGGTCCTTTAGGTGCTTTTTTGCAAATTCCAAGTGGGTTTTCTTGTGTCTTCACTGAGGAGAGGATTGAGTTTGGCCACACCGCCATAAAGCCCAGATCGGTGGAGTGTTGCAGTGATGTTTCTAGATTATTGTGAAGATCAGATGCATTTTAAAGAATTGCTAAAAGCTTCATTGGCCAAAAAAAAACCATTGAGAACCTGTGGTCAGTCCTCAAAAGGCGAGTGGACAAGCAGAAGCCCACAAATTGTGATCAACTCCGAGAACTAAGGCGAGAATGGATCGCCATCTGTCAGGATTTGGCCCAGAAGCTAATATCCAGCACGCCAGAGCGAACTGCAGAGGTTATGAAAAACAAGGGTCAAGACTGTAAATATTGACTCATTATATTTTTTGCCAATAAAAGCCTTTAAACTTATGATATGATTATCATTATTTTTCAGTATACCATAGAAACATGTGGTAAAATAAACCACAAATACTGAAGCAGCAAACTTTTCAAAACAAAATGTATGTCACTGCCAAAACTTTTGGTCATGACTGTACAAGGCCCTTCTCCATCAGTTGCTCAGTTTGGCCAGGAGGCCAGCGCTAGGAAGAGTCCTGGTTGTTTCAGACTTCTTCCATTAAGGGTAACAGAGACTACATGCTTCTGTGAACCTTCAATGCAGCAGAAATGCTTCTGTGAACCTTCAATGCAGCAGAAAT